TTTGATATCAAGAGAATCTTGAATATGTCTTGAACTCTTCGGTATTTGCCTCATATCAATATAAGTAAAATACTCCTTGTATTCAAGCGCTTTCGTGTAGAAAATTTCGTTTGAATTTTTCAATATATCGGGTTTTTACTCGCACACGGGTGTCTCATGATAAAATTGTCCAATAAGGAGCTCCTGTAGCCCCATGCACGTGCAAATCATGCTGTAGGGGTAATTTGACCTTTAGAATCGATTTCCGACGTTTCCCGAGTGATGGGATGTAAGCACGCAATGTTTTGGCAAATCTAATATGAATTTCCGGTTGAAGCTCTCGCGTAAAATTTGGATATTTTGAAATACCAAAATAAAAGATGCAAATCTGTAGATATAAGCTTGAAAATAACACTCTAAATAGTGTTTTTGATTGTGAATCGAACAAGACTATTACGAAAAAGATATCTTGAAAGGGGCCGAAGTTATGTTCTGGGAAAGGTATGCCTTAGTAAACATTGTTTACATATTTCGGGATTATTGTGTAATATAATGAAATATGAAGTCGCTTGATCGCTAAAATATTGACATTTTACAAACTCCATCGATAGGAAATTTCCTACTGAATCGAACAGTGTTATTTTCATCTACATAGCATGCACTGAACCAAAGATATAAATCTCCGAAGAACCAGGGCGGTCCAGTCCTGGTCTAAGTGGCACCGGACAAAAAAGAGTTAAACACAAATTTAAGATAAATATTCTGCAAAAAGTACTTATTTCAGTCATAATATTATTTATAAATATAGATGTTTACAAGAAACTTGTGAGTCACAACAATTAATGCACAAACTAACTTTATACTGTATATAAAATATGACGATAATTTATGCACAAACTAACTTTATACTGTATATAAAATATGATGAACTTACTGGAGCCGGAGGATGCCATATTTTATCGATTTGCAATGAAGCTACATTATAAAAAAGAATAAAAATTAAATAAAAGCGGCTGTAAAAATGAACCAATGCTATGACCAATGGGGATTTGAAACAGGATGGAGAAAATCGTTCACCAATTCAATAGGATTGAATTTGTCAAAGTCTTTGTCTGAAAATGTGCTAAGCTGAGCTAGGGTGCCATTTTTGAGGACAACAGAAATTAGTGTGTCTTTTTAATATACAGTGCATATTTCTGCATGTAGAGTGAGTTATTTTTGAATTTTGAAACAAATATGAAAATTTGGAAGTTGGAACACAAATATTGCAACAGAAATTTGAAAGAGTATTTAATAGAATGAAGTCTTTGTCTCAAATACAAATATATCGCGTGTTTAATAATACAGAGCATGAACATATGCTATATTATATTTGCGTATCATTACGTTGTGTCATTTTTGGGAACAAACGGGACATGATGCAGTATAAATTCGGAATACAAATATTACAACAGAATTTTAGTATTTAATTTTACACCAACCTGGAAATGCACGTCTTCATTTGGTGAGCAGAACGGCGAGAAAGACTTGAGGGCCTGAGGCAATATGCGGAAATACTCACTGTCACTGACAATCATACTGCGGATTCAGGTAGACCGTTTAATGCGAATAGTTGTCGTGTTAGTTTTAACAGTTGTACGATGACGTTTCCAGGTAGATTTTCGATGTTTCTAAGGCGTGGCTTCAACGTTTATTTTTAAAATTTGAACGTTGTAATTACAAGGTAATTGCTAAATAGTATACTTCAAAATAGGGGTTAGGGTTTAGTTTTGAGTTTAATAGGATGATTTTTTCTACGTTTTAAAATGGAAACCTTATCGCCAAACACGTGTGCGATTTTTCATTAATACTTCTCAAACCGTGTAATTTCCCATACGAATTAGCCTACGGTGTAGACCCCAGCAGAAACATGCGTATAGGCAATGTTTTTATAAGGGACCGTTAATAGTTAGTTGTAAACAACAGTAATAATAACATTAACAAGGTCAAGGTTTTATCAAATCTATAACTAAATAATGTTATTTCCTTTAGACTTAGCTTTATTGTAACTTTTTAAAGGTATAAAAAACGTGAAAACGGTGAATTACTATAATAGATTGAAAATGATTATTATTTATCATTTTGACGTTTGAGTGACTGAAATGAGTTAATTTACACTATATCGAATGTCATGTTGAATCTTATGCGTACTTCACAATGGTTGCTATTTCATTGTATTAAATTTCAATAGTATGCATAAATACTATTTCAGTATAATTCAAATTTTGTTTGATATTTATATATCATGTTATTTACAAGATGTGCTATAGTTTTAAAGCTTTGCACACAATATAATCAGTGCGAGCACAATGGCTCCATTTCAGTTTGAATATATAAAAATATATGAACAATGTAATATATGAACAACGAGAGCGAGTGTTTCACCGGGATATTCAAATAGGAGAAAACAATTTTTTATCCAAACACGAGAAAAGTAGTTTGGGAGGAGTTTGGTGGGAAACAAATTCTTCCTTAGTTGCCTAGAACAATTCCTTGCACGTTCTCTGAATTTCCTTTTTGCGGGAAAATGAACTAATCTTGGACTCTCAGGACTGACTTTCTCTGGTTTTATGCGCCCGAAACCTTATTAGGTAAATGTAATACCTGATGTAAAGCGCATTTGATAATATTCACATGTAAACTTGCGCTGTAGAAATGCCAAGCATAATCATTGAAACAAAACGTATATGTAAAACTGATTATGACGTACATAACATTGGTTGAACTGCATATCATGATGAAGTAAACCTAAATGTATAAAGTTCATTTACCTTTTCGGTTCTATGGAATAGCACAATATATGGGAATTTCGTGTCATGTGCACTTGAACGTAACAGCACAATTAAAAAATAATCAATAATTACCATGTACTGATATATTGTACAAATGTGATATACATACAGTAAAACAAATCAAGAAATAATAAAGGGGCCCTACAGTAATTTTTTAGTTGAAAAGCCAGCTTAAGTAGGGGACTCCACAGAGATTCATTTGGATGTATTGTACATTCATTATCGATGAGTATGAGTACTTCCGCACCACAGAAAAAGCATGCATGCTGTGGTGCGCATGTCAAGTAGCGAGAATAACAGAAAATGTAAACAACATGACAATTTGTCTCAAACAAACATAAACTTACTTCACTAAAAAATGACTGTAGGGCCCCTTTAACAAAGTGTAAGTGCGAGTAATGTACTATTTTAGTTTGAAATGTTGTTAGTAATCTGCACTACTCCTCGCATGAAAATTACGGGTTCTCCACTAGTATATAATTCATAATTGTGTTTAATTGTTAGGTGGATTATTAGTAGTTATTTTTGTAGTGAACTGGAACATTATATTGTAGTCATTTATGTGCAGCTACACAAAATACACATCTCTGTTAGATATTCTCTGATTGTGACATTGACCATGTTTTGCGGAACAGCTGATGCATGGGCAGTGGTATATTATGTTACTCTGTAGACTCTGACTCTGTTCTTGGTCACTTTCTAGGGGTGGCGGTAGCATTATTCATTCTTGTTTGGTATTCCAAGAAATGTTTTTCGTTACAATGAAAGATGTACTATATTATAGTATGTCCGCATTATGAATTATGTATATGGCCAGTATGGGTGACGAATTGTATAAAGCATGTAATTGTTACAGTTCATTTCAGATTACTTTTCCGCGTAATGTTGGTTGGAAAGTCAAAATGTTCGTTCCCAAAAGTTCCCAAGTTGATAGGTTTAATTTCCAACTTCGTAAATTATGCATCAAATTGCGAATTTCGGATCAAAGCATATTTTTATTGCATAATTTGTGAGTTGGAAATTGAACATAAACACATGCACTTAAATGAACTTTCGAACGAACTTCGCAATATTACACACGGAAAATAATGTGAAATTGACTGTAGAGTACTTGTTTGTTTATTCTTTAGAGTTTTTATTCAAATGGAAAAATGGGGATGACAGAGATAAGGCAACTGCCTTATAATTCTTTTATTAATAGATTTGAAATAAATTAAATGTGGGATAATGTATAAACTGGTGTAGTCTTTAACAAATACATATATCACTACTAAACGATTTTATGTCATTCATGAGGCAAACTAAAATTTCGGAAAATATGGAGTTTAAAAAAGGAGGGGCTGGTGCATGCAACCATTGCCCCCTGGTTACGTGGCCACTGACTGTAATTCTATATCACTATCATTCGAAGCAATTACTGGTACATGTAATCCAGACTGGAAAGTTTGCAAATTGCGCAACCGAGATCAAAATTTTCCGGATTTTTACGCGCCTAGTTTTCGAATCTGCGCATCTAGTATCTGAATTAACACGTGCAGTTTTAAACATAATTCATAGTTTTTAGTTTTCACCAAACGTGACAAAGTAAATTGTTTAGTACAGCTGTTCATCTTCATGTTCTATGATAGTTTATTTGCTTACGAAATTTAAATGTTTTAAGAGTGATCACATTCACATGCACCACAATACGGAACGCTCACCAACATTCGTTGCTTGCCAGAGCCTTTTTTAAGAATTTGTCCGTGGGGAGAGAGCAATCTACAAAGAGGGACCACACTATTGTACGTAATAGTAACAGGGTTCGGGGGGATTTTCCCCCAGAAAATTTTTGTGTTTTTCCACCCCTAGGACTGCATTTTGTGCATTTTGTGAACAGATTTTTACATGCACAGCATTACATTATACTGTGGATATATTCTTATAGAATCTTCAGTTAAGTACTTCCTTGGATGTTTATGTGAATACCACAACTCCATCACTAACTTGTTTTGCTGATTAGTCTACCTTCCAGCAACTCAAATCTATAGGGTCTGGGATATGCTATCCAATGAGGCGCGGGTTTAAAATCTAATAATGTATTCAGGACACAATGTTTAGCATTTTTAAATACATTGATCGGACCATCTGACATTTGCCACTTACATTTGACATAGCCTCGTGCCCAGGCTCTTTAGACTTTAGTTTGCAACCCTAGCGTTCAAATGACATAATTTCACCATCGTTAAAATTTTTGTCCGACCGTAAGCACGCTTGTCCGTGATGAATCCGATCGATCAGACCATCTGACATTTGCCACTTCAATTGTGGCATAGCCTCCTGCCCAGGCTCTTCACTTTCGGCAACCTAGATTTGAAAATAACATCATTTCACCATCGGTAAAATCTTTGTCCGACCGTAACCAGCTTGTCCGATGGATCCGATCAATCGCGATCAACGTAGCATAGCCTCCTGCTCAGGCTCTTTCCTTGCAACTCTGGCGTTCAAATTATATCATTTCACCATCGGTAAAATTTTTGTCCGTTAACGTGCTTGTCCGATGGATCCGATCGATCGGGCCATCTGACATTTGCCACTTATATTGTGGCATAGCCTCTTGCCCAGGCTCTTTACTTTGCAACCCTGGCATTCAAATGATGTCATTTCACCATCGGTAAAAGTTTTGTGCATGTCCTTCCAACATGCACACAAAAAAATATTTCGAAAATATAACGGTTCGACCTATATGTCATGCCTGACTGTTGTAATAGTCCTTATATTATAAATTAATATCACATTATGCTATATATTTGGATTTGCAAATACTACGGGTTTTCTAGGAAAGAGCTGGGTCTTCTGTTCCATAGTCTTATTTTAGCAATATTAGTTTTTGGTATAGAGGTCTGGGGATGTGCGTTGTATTCTAAGTATCTTAGTCAAGTAGATAAACTTTTAAAACGTGCATATAAGTATGGATATCTTATGTATCAGGTATCGATTGTTGATATATTAAACAATAAAGACAGATTTATGGGAGAAAATAACTACGGATCCCAACCATGCCCTGCAAGTTTTGCTGCCTCCTAGTCGTCAATTAGAATTACGCAATCGCGGACATGAGTATAAACTACCGAAAGTTCGAACAGAAAGGTTTAAAAGAGTGTTCGTTAATACCGGGTGGCCCAAAAAAAGTACTCCTGTTTGATTCGTAATAACATCTAAACAAGTATAGCTTTTAAAGAGAAATAACTTGCATCAAATAGAGGAAGGACTAACTTAGACTTTGATATATTACAGTTGTATTTCACTTAAAAATTCACGGAGATATTAATCTTTAAATTCGGGAGGATATTTCTGGATGTGTCTGAAATATGCAAAAATCGGCGTATCAAATATTAATCAAGATTTGCCCGACTGAAACATGCACTATTACCAGTAAATAAATGACACTTGACAAATTGTTTATTATGAAACAAAGTATTATTATATCTACAAAATACAAGCAAGATTCATTCGTCCGAAATTCGTGTGTGTTCCTAGCACGAATACGTTTCCTTATTTCATGAGACCACTGCATCGCGAAGGATCGTCATTGGATCGTTCGTAGTTCTGAATTAGGGCATGCTGTCACAACGGAATTGTGAAGCTCTTCTAACTTCTGCAACGTTCTGAAATCTTGTTAAGAACACCCAAACTCTTTTGCCGTTTCTTAATCTTGGCAAGTTCATGGAGTAAACTGAGAATTATATGAAACACAATCAAACCATACAACTCCATAAGACATAACAATTAAGCAACTCCCCAGAGACATGCAACATTTTTGGAACAAAACGTAACAAAATAGTAGCGTTGATACGGTGATGTGTATTTGCAAAAAGCAATATTATTTCCTTCAATAAAGAATATTCATCCTGCTCTAACCGAGAAATAATCTACTCAGTCTGTTTGAACCCATTAAAAACATAAAAAAATTAGGCTATTTAACAATACGAAAAATTTAAGCGCCTGCCTTCCATGGTCAGTCTTTCATGTACATTTAAGTTTGCAAAGACCTAATATTAAATACTTGCATAATTTCGAACGTTCATATTTCAGGAAACAATGAGCTAAGACTTACATGTAAGATGTCTAAATCTACGCCATATCCCTTACAAACCTTAACGATAATTCGCTGAAATACAAGTTAGCCTAATATGTCATTAAGCAAACAAACGCTGGAGTTAATATTTGATATGCCGATTTTCGCTAATTTTAGCCACATTCCAAAATATGCTCCCCATTTTTAACATTAATATATCCGTGAATTTTTAAGTTAAATACAACTGTAATATATCAAAATCTAAGTTAGTCCTTCCTCTATTTAATGCAAGTTATTTCTCTTTAAAAACTTCACTTGTTTAGAAGTTATTACGAATCAAACAGGAGTACTTTTTTTTGGGCACCCGGTAGATGTCTTTTTAACTTCATATGATATTTTTAAATTAGAAATTAACTTCTTAGGAACTACATTAAACATTATAACAATGGTATTTTAGCTCTATTAATGAATAATATCAATACTAATATAGTAATTAGTATAATAATTATTGATAAGTAATTAGTGCAAATTGTAAGCCAGCACGTTTGTTGTGAGGTGTTGCTTTCAATATTTTAATAAAGATTTATACATACATATTTGTCTACGTATATTTGTCCATCGGACAAACTATTCTCTGACGCGTCGGCCGAGAATATCACATGTTTGGCCATCGGATCAATCGGACTCCGATCGCGGATATTGGACATCAATCCAAAGAAAAAGCAGTTCTTTGGAGAAGTAACTTATGGGGGGGTCCATACTTCAATTTATCCAAACTGATTGGCTGTGATTGTCCGATTGAATATTCGGGCTGTATGATATATCTGCATCATACTTCATGAAGTATCAAGTATGTTAGCAGATGGTATAGATGGATGAGTTAGGCCCTCCCAAATTTAGTTATTTATCGAAGTTGGCAATTTGGCACACTGAGACGCTGACTGCTGTCATGATTATTTTTATAATTTATAAATGATTCCTTTATAAATAATTCCTTATACTGTTATTCAGTTGTAGTGCATTTCAACATTTCGAAATTCGAATCATTCCATCCCGAACAACACGCGCCAGTGTATTATATATGTGTAATGTGTTATTGTATATTTGTAGACAATTCAGCTTCTGATAATACAGACATTTCCATAAAGTGCGACACAAAAACATGAAACAATTTACAACTATTTACACTACATTTACCTAGCAGAAATTATTCAATAGTCTCTTGATGAATGATTGCCGTGGAACAACAGTACAGGCCCTCAATTGCAATGGTCGATGTTCGCCTTGAAAAGCCAAAACCAAAAGACCGCCGAAATACAATTAGATCAAACTTCGGAATGGCTGATCTTTATTGGTTATTATTGTGCTTCGTTGGAAATGAACTTTCACCATACCAATGCCACATTGATCACACATAACTGCTAAAATTTGCGGCCCCGCTGGCATGTGTAAATTTGAGACATAAAATTGCGGATTTCTTGTGTCTCGCGACATTTCTCGTGCAAGCTAATTTGTCTCTTGCATGACGCGCTTGAATAATAGCACAATTTTAATTTCATGCGCGCATGCGCTTGAAAAATTGCACATTTTCAATTTTACCTGCGCCTCATTTTGAAATTGCACGTTTGACAACAGATTTTTGAAATTTGCGCGTCTGGACACGCATTTTGCAAAAAAGTGCGCAACTGAGATCTCGGTTGCGAAGTACAAACTTTCCAGTCTGGCATGTATTACTTAATATTACATAGTGTCATAATTCTAAGCTTTGCTTGTTGGTGGCATTGAAAGCAGTTGTATATTTGTCAATGTCAAGGCCAACCTTAGCCAAGTGTTGAATGAGCTTAACAGTATCTTCACTTGTTTCATCTTCAGGCAAGTCATCTTTCACAAAGAAGTACACCTGTTTGTTAAAAATAGTAGTTTGCAATTCAGTTTGGTGATTAGTTGCACGTATATACTATATATAGTAGTTAATAGGGGTGGCATCTGCAGAATTTGTTATCCAATGGGAATGAAAAACATGTAACGTTCAAAACGTATACATTTCTATTTATGTAGTTTATGGCCTTTTTAGATAATTTTTAGGAAAAATTTACACATGTAACAGAAAAAATCAGCAACCATAGCTGCCTAAAATGGCACTGAAATACGAAAACAATTTTTGAATTAATTACAAGCGTTAGAGGTCCGGCCGTGAACAAGCCACAAAAATACACTGTTTCTGACATGAATAAGAGGCCGCGGAGAGTGAACAAGTTACAAGTATAACATAACTATGGAAGGAAAATAATATTGCAACCATGTAGCTGTGACAGATACTCACAAGAAGGTATTTTTATAAGTTTCATTCTCAGAACATACATGAACAGAAATTGCTAGGTAGAGATGGCAGGAAATAAAATTAAACAAAAGTTATAACAAGCAAAATAATATTTTGGTAATTACCATTATTCTGTTTGCGGTAGCTTTCTCCTGAACTACTCCAAGGGGAACTTTTGGCAATATATTTGCAACTAAATGGTGCATGAGGTTTTTTCCAGAATATCCATGAACATTCTTTCTGAACATGCCTTTTTGTGACAGCTGAGAAAAGCTTACTGTTTTTCCAGGTGTTAACAGAATTTGTCGAAGGAGTTTGTTCATAACCGATTGGGGGATTGGTGGCGATTGTTGGTTGTTGAGTGCCTCTCCCTCTCCCTCATTTCCAGATCTGGATGAATTTGTTGCATATTCTTTGTTGGTCAAGATACCTTAATAAGGATAACAATGGGAAAATATATGAAGGCACGTGTAATGATTAGAGAAGTAAAACAGTTTTCATGGAAGAAAATGAATTATAAAATAATCATACATTAATTTTGATACGGTCATAGTAAATATCATTATGCAATCAACTCTGCCCCGGAATTTAAAGGTGAATATAGGCTGTGCGACCCTTTATTAATTATGAATTGTGACTGAATTTGTTGACTTACACAGTTGAGTGAGTGTGCATTTAACGATCGACGCGGTCATGTTGATATATGGTGCACCAATTTCTCTCTGTGGATCATCTTCGTGAATTTGACCATCCTCGGGCAGGGGCGGATCTAGGGGTCGTCAAATCAGTTGCGCGACTGAAGTAAAAATTGCCTACTTAAAAAAAAAATTGACTCCAGCTATCTATAGTGGCCAGTAGATCAAGTTACTAAAATTTTGAATCGTACCGGTAGTCCAGTTATACGTTTCATGCTGCGTCAGAGCTTCGGCAAAGTAATGTTAGTCAGTCACGAACAGCGGTCTTACGCATGAAAGTTGACGGATTCGGGGGTCAAATCCGGCTATCTTATTGGCTGACACGCTCATTTCCATGGTTACGGCCATTTGCGACGGATCTGTGGGGAGGCCTGACGGATTTGCAGATTCAGGGGCTCTGTATGAGCCTTCTGATTGAACCATTTAAAAAAATTCTGCACTGTCATTGGCTTATATTTTCGACGGATTCGCAACGTGAGGTATTCGTCAACAGCGCATTAGTGTTTACCTTTGAGTGTTTACTATTTCGAAAATTTACTATTACGAGCGATTTCTACCAGCGATATCTGGAAACATTTTCGACAATGTTCAGTTTGCGATTGCGGCAAACAATTTGGAATCTCTATACAACGTTTGTATACGGAGCTTGAAAAGAATATCGATGCCTCACGGACGAATTTTGTTGACAAGCTACTGAGCGGCGCCATCAACAACACAAGTAGAAGCCTCGCTAGAAATTTTGGCGCAGAGAGCTACTGCTAGAGAAAGACAAAGCTTGCACTGCAATAAGGTAGATAAATTTATGGTTTTATAGTGATGTATCTTTAGATCATATTAAAGGTTTATAAACTGGAGTACCAAGCCATCGGTGTTGTTAATGATTGTCTGACATATGATATTTTAATATATTCGCTATGCTGTATTGCTGTATTAGCATAATTCTCGCGTCAAGAAGCTAAAATATGTTAATATTCAATGTCTACATTGTAAGCATTTGTTGATTCTCATGTTAGTGAAGCTTTATTTAAAATTTCTTTATATTTATGCATTAATCACACAACATGTACGCGTAACGCGTATACGTGTATTGTTTATCCATAGCCTTTCGACATGGCTTGAACATGGACCGCATTGGTCTGATGTAACATGATGATGTGAAATATTTAATTGTAGGAGTAGCTTGAAAAGCTCTTTGACTGGTAGCCATTCTGATGTTACTAGTTTATTAATAGTATATTTTGTGTTCAATATATAGACCACAGTAAGACTTTATTAATAGTAAGGGTTTAGTTTATTAATATTTGACATAACATCTTTGACTTAGTTAATGAATATGTGGTTGTTTTTTTGGAGCCCAGGCTACTCGCAATTACTTGTTATGTATAGTTCTGTGTTTTTGGTAACAGAACAGTATATTTCCTTAATGCATTTGCTGCCATATAATTTTAGAAGTTAATTTTACAATGATACACTTATAAGCATATAGTACCAATATGACGACGATTCTTAATCCACAGGCAAACATGTTAAATTGCTGCTGAGTTTTAAAGTATTATCATCAATATATCTTTGTGCATTTGTAGTTGTTCTTACAGTGCCTGTGGATAAGAATCAAATGTTGGTTTCAGTTTATCAATTTAATCTAAATATGTTTTATAATTTGGTTAATTAGGATTTAGGTTAATAGGTGTGTGGGGGGGGGGGACCAAATCGCATTTTATGTACGGAAAATTCTAAAAATCCAGTGGCGGACTATCAACATAACAATTATTTAGCGCCCACTCCCCCGTCTGGAGTCGACCACGCCCAGTCGAGACCACGCCCAGCGACGATAACGCCCCGTCCACCAAAAAATTTTTGACTGAGGTACGAAAAATCTTAGATCCGCCCCTGGGGGGGTTCTCGTCACGAAATCACGAAGATCATTTTTCGATTTCACGAGTCACGAAAAACAAAATTTCATTTTCACGATTTTTAGAAACACAGAAGCGTAACAAAGTCTGAAACCACTAATGATTTTCTAGACAGCAGAACTCGATGTTAACACAAACACATTTTACTGAGTTTAACATTAGAGCCGTTTAAACGACTATGAAAATCATTGCGAGGCATTACAAAACATCACGAGACACCAAGCAACAGCTGAAGAAACGAAGAAACTTCAAGAAAGACAACCGCGGGAAGCAAATTTATTTATTTTTTCTTCATAGTATTAAATTTGGGCCGAGTAAACATTAACCGAGAGTAAACATTCACAAGTTAGGGTAAAATATTGGTAAATTCAGCACCCTAGCTAGCCTTTTAGCTCTTCACGATTCACGGCGCGCATATTAATCACGATTCACGGAATGGTATTTCTTTAAATCACGAATCACGAAACACGAATAATTGCTAATCACCAGACACGCGAAAATACCCTTGCCCATCCTCTTGATAAAACTGATCCATGCAATGTTATGGCTGTTCCAAAATAAAGTCCGGTTCACCCAATGGCAATGGACCATTGAAATCATGCATCAATTGTTATCTATAGGTTTGATTACCCCCTACTTTAAACAACCATAAGTTAACATAGGTTCTATACTCGGACTTAATATTTAGACGTTTTAGCGATATTTAAAATTTGCATGGTAGTAACATATAGTATTACGTAGTTCTAAAAATTTTTCATGTAGATTGTAGTATATGTTATTAAGAGTCCTTTTACTATGTTCTGAAATATTGCATGCAATTAATTCTGTATATTTCAGCTTTTAGCTGCTATTCAGATTAACATTTCATTAAATACAAATACATTAAATACAAATTCATCTCTTAGCCTAAATTCTCGATGCCCACTAAGCTTGCTGTGTAAAATTTAGAACATGCATATATAGCTATTGCATTGTTTTCGGGACACCCTGCATAGAATTTTGAAAATTCATTATTTGACTTCCTCAGAACAGCTATAGTGTTCGTAAAGACCACTGAAGAACAGTTCAATTTGTTTTCCCCTTTATTAAAAGTAAGGAGTTGATTACAAATTACAATAATAAAATATGCATATACAGGGTGTATCAAAAAAACCGCAACCTCGGAATTTCCCAAGAAATCGACATTGTTTTAAAGACAAAAGATTTTAGGCGCCTGGGAATTTAAAATAGCACAACTGTCAAAATTACTGCACACGCGAGTGCATAAAGCAAAATTTATGCATTTATTTAGTGCACAACAACAGTAATATGATCTATTAGCAATTCGATTTCAATTCCCAGGGGTCTAAAATCTTTTATGCTTAAGAATTGCAAAGTGATTTCTTAGGAAATTCCGAGGTTGCGTTTTTTTTTATACACCCTGTATATACGCTGCATACAGTATAGGGTATAAAAAAGGAATTTTAGTGCATAATATTTACGACCCATGCTAAAGTTGCAGCTGAGGTATCATAATAAAAGGATATATACCTAATTGTTTGTCACTGTCTATATTAAAACAGCATATTACAACGTTCATTGAAAAAAGCTACTAAAAGACGTTTCGATCCAATATATATATTCAATCTTCGTCGGTTAAACACTAAATCGTAATTGTCGTGCTACGAAATATAACTACGTGCATCGTAATTGTTGTCATGATAAACCATAGTCTTTCGAGACATGGTCTGGAAAGTCAGTAAACTTCAAAGCGGTTATAATGAGCTGTGTGTTTATGTTGAGACGTACCTTACACCGTGCACATCCTTTGTTTTAGGTTTATTAATATTTAAATAGGATGGTTGAATGACTGACTGAAACGTTGCTATTGGATGATTCGCCATTATACTGAAATACAATGTGTTCATTGACCGTGCACCGTGCACAAAACTGCATAAACGCGAACAAAAAGTAGAACAAAGAACATGTTTTGAAAGACTATGGATAAACTTAAGGACATGATGCTTAAAATTAGCATATGATACGTGTAATCCTCATTAATTATAATGTTTACAACTAAGCCTAAGAAAATAAAGCGTGGTTGTCACTATCAAAGTTTCTGTGATCACAGTAGGAATTTTGCATCAGTAAGTTTTAATTAAAAGGATTTGTAAGAAATGTTTGAGGGATTGACTCATTGTTTGACATGAAAAGTTAGTTCCCTCTAACATTTCTTGAAAATCTTTCAAAACTAGAATTTACCTACGTGTCAAATTCCTACTCTCTGTGATATTACAGAATTAACTTTGATAGTGTAAGCCAGTCTTAAGAAACATATTGGTCCTACAATGTTAAATGTCATATATTTCAAAAAGCATCATCAACATTGCAAAACTTACCACCACGAACTTTGTAGCAATAACAACACGAGCTGAAGATTTCGGAGTGGTACTTGGATGTATTTCATTTGTTCCCTCCGTGCAGTTCAAAGGATTGCATTCGTTGCCTTCCATCTGAAACAAAGCGGTGTCGGTGTCCGAAGTTACTGAAACAAAAATTTGTTTGAGCTCGCCGGCGTTTGGCCCTATTAATCCCGTATCTTCCGTGCGAGGTGAGATGACCATGAGTTTGTCCTTTTGGGATGAGCGGTCGAAAGAAATGTCGTTGTCGTACTTGTAAGGGTGAGGATTAGTGCGAGAGCCGAAAATAGACGTGCTACCACTTAAATCGACTACATTGAGCTCGAGGTTTGAAGATTTCGGCACTTTATAACTGAAATATAGATACGTATCCTTTGCGACATCTGTTATGATTGTCTGGTTAAGAGATGTAGGACGAGGTTCATAGCACGTTGACGACGTTAGCGTTGAAATAAATATCTCAAGTTGGGAAAAAGTGGATAACCTGTAAACATGTGAGTCAGAAGAAGCAATCTCTTGAAGTTGTCTAAGATTGTAATTGCCGATTCCAATCCCATAAACAACGATGTTTTCATCTCTCACATTCTTTGCTGGAATTGAAACACTGTCGTACGATATGCCGTCCGTTAGAACAATCAAAACACGAGGGACGCCATTTACTTCTGGACGCAAACCGCGTTCTTCGGTGAATTGATCGGTTAAGATGTGTTGTAGAGCTCGACCAAGTTGGGTACCTCCAGCGGAGTATGGAACTCGATTAACTGCGGAAAGGTAGGCTGACTGATTTGTGTAGTTTGATAAATAGAAATGTGATCTGTAGCTGGAACTGAATGTGGACAAACCGAATCTGGTGCCATCTTTTCCGCTGAGTCTATCATCTGGAAATGCTTTTATCATGTTCTCTACAAAATCGAGGCTTTCTCGAAAGTTCGCGAGGGAAACACTGCCAGATTCGTCTATCAAGAAAACAACGTCAACAGAGCGGTTGCATTTCAAAAGAGTTGCTTCAATTATGTCCGCTTCGTCGTTTCGTCTGATCAAATCCCCTCTGGCCTGCTCGTTCGGATTCTTGTAAAAATTTCTCAATTCTTTTATCGCATTGTCCCAATCGTTTTTCGTCACAAAGTTCCAGAACTTTGGATAAGCCGTAGGATAACCCAACTGATACCAAACGCTGACGATGGCTGTACGAATACCGCGAGGAACTGAAGCAAACGCCTGCGTGTTCGCATCTTTTTCGCTGTCGTATCTTTTTGAAACTTCAGTAACCACATCGTTTGTAACAGCATCTGTCAAAGTGTTTGCTTCCCAATACGCTAGTATCAATCGACGTTCAATTGCAGCACAAGCAGCGAGATTTCGTTTCAAACCAAAGTAAGGTTCAAGTTTGTTAACGATTGTACTAAATAATGATGACGTGAAAGACGCCTTCGACTTGCTTCCAAGATCAATACCAGCGCCAATCGTAACGCCACTTTGCCCAAGAACTTCACCAGATTTTTGATCGATCGGGACGTATCCACACGAAGTAAAACCTTCATGACAGTTCAGAAACTTCTGGTAAATCATTGGCGCAGATGTTTCGCTTCCTTCAGGAATTCCCGACTTCCAAGAAGACGGGCAGTCTAACTGTTCAAGATTGCAAGTGATTGGAACTCGACGTTTACCAATGTAACTTGATGGTTTATAACCATTTTCGCAGTTGTGTGTTTGACCATAAACCGTGCCAAGCACAAATGCAAGAAGAATTAAGAACCTCGCAAGCATTTTAACTAAAGTCTGATTGACCATGGACAAGGAACGTAAACACCCAAAAACAGAAGTGAAATAAAAAGCTTTGCAAATAGCGCAGCAGTTTATGCGATCAGTTGACTCAAATTGACCAATGGGGCAATGGGAACAAGCGTAATTTGAGTACACATTGTAAGGAATTCCTAGTATTCAATATACGGAGAAAATGAAGCATGAAAATGAAAGGTTCTTTTGAACTTGATAATTGTTACAAAAAAAGCAATTATTATAAAAAAAAGTTCGCTGCAGTTATAGTTATAGTGTGCGATATATTTTTTATCGATCTCGAAAATCTAGATGCTGCTTTCACTTGAAAGTATGCCAAGTATGAAAAATAAAAAAAGCGAAAATGAAGACGGTTTCTCTTCCAAGAAATTTTCTTCAAGGAATAAGTACATTACTGAAAACCATTTTGTGACCTTTTACACTCGTTTTCAAAATTACAGTGTTATGCATGTAGGGCCAGCATGTTCACATCGGATATAGTGTCTCCCCGCGGATAGTGTCCCTCCCGGACACTATCCGCTAGCGGATAGTATCCCCACGTAAAAGTCAAAAACAAAGGCTCGTCTTTAAGAAGATTAGATAAAGATTACATATATAAAGATTACAGTATTTCATAATAAAATCGCACAAAATCATGTCGTCGCTCACTTCAGGCATGAGACAATTGATTGCATGAGACAATTGACAATTTCGATCTCAAAAATGTTTGGATCTTCTCTTTTCCGCTTGCTGTTAATCTGTCCTGGGGAAGGCTCGAACTCGCCATTCTCGAGGCATCTGACCCCGAATGCGATGTTGTTCGAACGCAATAGCGAAACGTCCGCAGCCTATACCGCCGCTTTCAGGCGCTTTGTTGTTGAACGGCAGGAACTTTGATTTCAAGAGCGTCGAAGTTAATAGCAAAACTTGATTTGCTAATATATAGAATAATTTCTACCAATAAAACCGGGAAGCTAAACCTTATGTCAGTAGTTTCTTGGGGGGACAGTATCCGCTAGGGGGAGCACTATCCGCGTCGCGGATAGTGTCCGGGGGGACACAATCCGCTAGCGGATAGTGTCTGGGGGGACATAATCCGCTAGCGGGTAATGTCCGGGGGACACTTTCTGCGGGGGACACTACCGGTGCGACACCGGGCTGGCTCGCTTTGCCGGGCCAAGTTGTTATTTGTTTCACATGAGGCGGGGTAGCCCGGCATGTGCTACAGCAATTCCCGCACGATTTTTGCCGGGAGCGCGATATTTGTTTCTATGTATCACAATGCTATTCTTATTGACGGAAACTGCTTCAGAAGTTTTAATTTTGTTAATTCCTTAGGGCTTAGGTGTTTTGAATTTTTAGATAATTTATAGCTAGAATTAATTACAAAGCATGCATCGTGACACAATTTTCCAACCTCGCACCCAGGGTCTTGAGGGCGTGCCTGCCTCCTCCGCAGGCCATCGTTGCGTCATGGGAAGGTCACGATCTGGCGAGGGCCTGCGGAATCTTGTAAAAAAAATGGCGCCGGCGTCACGTCAGCAAGTAAATTTCTACATAATCTTGAATATAAACAGATATAAAAAAGCGGAGTGAAACTTGTAAATTAAACTGGCGAGTCTTAGGACGTGGAGGAAGCATTTTTTAACGATAAGGTTTGTTGTCCACACCAACGATACACGAATAAAACTGCCTTCTTTAACGAAGCAGGTTTAAAACAACATTTATTCATTTTACAAGATTCCGCAGGCCCTCTCGAAATCGTGACCTTCCCATGACACGATAAGAGCCTGGGTACGAGGTTGACAATTTTCTGGCCCGCTAAGTGTGTTCGCTCAAGCGCGAGCCCGACAAAACCGAGCTGGTCCGATTCTCATGTGAACTGAATCTCGAAAACCGATATAAATATAATTGCGAGACTGTCCGGTTTACCGAGCCAGCCCAACTTATATGAATAGGCTGCTAGCCCGAAAATAATCTGCAAGGCCAGGGTACATGCAGGTTTTATGTCAATTCGAAATTCGGAATACTTAGTTTGACTTGAAGATTGTAGGTCTGTATAAAGTTAGCAATAATTTTTAAAATGTTTTAGTGATAAATATTGTATTGTAAAAATATAATGCAAATAAATATCCTGACCGCCAGTAGTGGACACTTCGCGAAATATTGGGTCGAGGGAGGGGGGGGGGGGACAGGTTGCTGGAAATCCTAGTTCTTTAATATATAGCTTAATTTTAGCTTGCCAATGCTTTCATGGTTGAAACGTTATTGTTACAGCTTTGTTACACAATTATTCCTGCAGCTATAGCTATCATACAGAGGGTATCAGAATTTATTCGGAGTGGGGGATGTATTTAAGTTAAAAGGGCACTTTTGCCCCCACGAAAAAGGGCAACAGGAGCGCTACCCCCACTCCCAACCCGCACCACTCTATCAGCATTATATAGAACGGTCAGTAAAAAGCTCATCTTGAAAGCTAGAGAGCGGAATAAATATGTAGGTATTAAGCAATTGAACTGCATGTTTTGTCTACAACACTATAGACTCAAAGTACAGCTATAAACAACTATGTAGGTATAAGCAATTGAACTGTTTATCTACAATATAGAGACCCGGACTACAGCTAAACAAAGTACACTACCATAATATAACAATACACTTGTGTACATAACGTGTTAACATGTACTTACTGAGTTACCAAACGCTGTTAGCAGGGGCAACGATGTGTCAATATCAAGTTTTGTCTTAACATAATCCTCAAGATCCTCAAGATCTTCAAAAATATCTGGCGACGTTTCTCTCAAATATTCTAACTTTTCTGATTTCCGAACGCTTCGATTTCGGATTTTACTTTTTCTTCCCTGCAGTGTAGACACGATTGAAGGAAACATTGTGTTGTGATAGACGTTCAAGGCGAACTCAAAATTTCAAATCTCAAAACCATTTTTCGATCATTAGCATCTAACGACTTCTAACATTGGACAGTTTTAATCTAGCATAATTGTTTGCGAACAATCACAATGTAAATTGTGTTAATTTGATCGGAAAATGAATTTATAATTTCCAGACTTATGAAAAATCTTTAAAGACTTTGTTCTATCGCACGAGATGCTCAAATATTAATTTTAATATATGCCTTATATACCAGAGAATGTTCATGGGTTTTTGTATAGATGGAAAGTTTAAACACATGGATGCCGAGCGAACTAGCAAGGACATGCATAAGACATCCTAATAAAACGTCTGTCGTCTGTGGGACGTAATACTGACAGTACTAGTATTAACTCTATCTGTTTCTCCCATTTCAACTTCATATAAAACATCGATCCATTATCTTCTTTCCAGCCATGCTTCGTTGTCTTCTGTTGAAAAGAGCCAACTTTTCATTGACGTACATCCCAAATTAAAGTAACTACAGCTTCCATTTCAGGAGATTCTTTATTATGATTTTTATGCATTCTTTGTATAGCTCTTCTCTTGCTTTCCCTATTTGACGTTTACAGTTCATTGCACTAGTACAAACGGGTTATATAACGTTCTCCAAGGTTGTCCTGATTACTGTCTTTATCGATCTTTAAAGTATCCCGACTTTGTCTTGCTTCCATGGTAGGTACGAGGAATTGCAGTTGTTCCCAACAAAATCCATTTCGGTGCTAAGTGTTCATCGGTCCTGATGTCCATTGGGTTCCTTTCTTCAAGTTTTCATCAAAAGCGACTCTTGAAGGAGATGTCATTTCAGACTGCATATCTTTTCATGGTACACCGAGAGTTTTCTGTGCAAGATGAGATAGTTAAAGAAAACATATACGTGATAGATAAACTATTATAAATACGTTCGGCAACTTTTTACCTATTCCAACAATTCCTCCTTGGCTTTTTTCAATGTTGTGATAGTCTTCTGAGAAGACAGATTCATACTTCCCAATTATTTTTTCAATAAGAGTTTGACAGTGCTAAGGTAACTAAGCATAGGTTCTTCCCATGCAGAGTAGGCTACGAAATATGGGGAAAAATAAATAAAATAAATTTTTAGACAAATACTATTGGCAATACATTTAAAATTAAATAATTGCACTCAGATTAAGTTTAAAACATGAGCAGCCGATCTTTATCTGATATACAAACTCGAGCCGAAGGGGAGAAACGCTCCTAGGCATACTTCTATTTGAAATATCATACATTAAATTAGAAACAGTTTTATAATATACAGCAGATATATCAGTAGGAAGAATATTTGACATAATGAAAAGAGGGACAGCATGTTCAGTTTTCTGTTTAAAATTGAAATACAACGTTTTTAACAATGCACGTTTTTAAAGAACGAGTATCCTGTTTAAGTGAATTTGGGAAGCTTGACCCCAAAATAGCAATCCCGTATGTTATATAAGGTAGAATCAAGGATCGATAAATATTAATAAGGGGAAATACAGGAACGAAATGTCTCAATTAATCTGGCGATAATACCTGTCGTTTTGCTTATTTTTGACGCAATGTTGTGATATTTCCAAGAAAGGTTATCATGTTTTATAACAAAAAATTAAATAAGTTTAAATGATTTCACTATCGAGTGACGGATACCAAAATCCAAATAAATTATGATCTGCAATTCTTATTTTGAACCGCAAAAATGTTTCCATGCCCTCTTATGGAAGAAATTGAAATAATGTTAATACACCATTTCGACAATTATACGTTACAAATCTCTCCCTCAGCTCCGGGAGCCTCATTCTTATGAATCGTTAGCCAGTTGGCTCACGTCTTTATTCATGATAGCCAGGCTCCCAGGCCAAGAAAGTGTTCATGACGTAATTATCAAAACGGTGTATTTTCTACACGCATTTGAATCATTAATATATTTCCCAACTCACTCATGCAGGTATCAATTATGGGCGGACCATTACAAAGTGAAGTGGGGGGGGGGGGGGGGGGGGGGGGGGAATTAACATCCACTTGAACATCATACAAAAGGTAAATTATAGTTGAGAAGCTTT